AAGTGCTCAGCGACGAGCTGCAGCCGCTGGTTGTCCGCTTGGCGGCGGCCCGCAGCTTGCATCTGAGCACGCTTTTGGCGCAGCGCTCGAACGTCCACGTGGTCGTCGACGGCTGGCTCGCAGCGCTCGTCTTGCTCCAGGACGACGAAGCGTGCGTGCGCGAAGCGATTCGCGCGACGGTCGCGCCATTGGTCACGTCGGTCCACGCCGCGCCGTCCGACATGATGGTGCTTCCGTACGCAGTCGCCTACTTGGCGCAAACCTTTGGCCACGTCGATCGTCTCCAAGAAGCGGTGGGTAGCTACTTGACGACGTACACGGCCCTCTTCCCGCGCCTCGACGAGTGCATCAGTGCGTCCGACGGCCATGCGTACAATGTGCTCTGCGACAAGATTTTCGAGGCTGAGAGCGGCAACTACTTCAAGGAGCCCGAGCTGCTCGTGCAGCTCTTTGCGCAGCATTTCGTGCACACGGGCAAGGTCCGTCTTCCGACGCTCTTGTCCGATCTCGAAGCGTGTTTGGTCCGCTGGGCGGCCGCGAGCGCACTGCACCAGCAGGCGTGGGTTGGCGGCACGACTTTCTTTCCGGACGTCTTTCCGCTCTTCCATAATGCGGTGGTGGTCGCGATTGCGCAAGTGCACGCGACGAACGAGGCGCATGGCGCGCTGCAAGCGATTGCGCACAAGGTGCTCGGGACCGAGACGCACAACATGCACCCGCTCTTGTGCCAAGCACTCACGGCATTGGCGGCCGGGGACGATTCCTTGGCGCCTCTGCTCTTCCTGACGCCGTCCTGGGCGAGCAAGCACCAGATTGTGGCGGAATAGACACTGCGGTCGAAAGGAATGAATGGACTACCTGCTTTTGCATCACCTTGTCATTGTTTTCGTGGTTGACGAACGCGCCGAGACGACGACGACTCGTGCGATGCGGGCGAGGACATTATTGTCGTATTCTGTTGGATGCGGGTGGCGATGGATGGCGCTCCAGTGCTAGTACGTCGACGTACTTGGACCTTGGGTCTTGCTACAATATTGGTCTGGAAAGATGCAAGGTCACGACATGGTGCGAAACCCTCATGGCATCGACGTTTTGATCATCCAGTCGATGCGTTATGGCATCCTCGTGCAAGGCGTGTGCAAAAGCCACCGCGACATGCCCGGCCAGTCGAGCAAGGACGATGCGTTCATTTTTGGTATTTTCCGTCTTTTCGCGTTTTTTTGAATTTCAAAGCTTGACCGGCGTTTTCATAATGCCTTTCAAGACGACTCCGAGTTGCCGAATGGTCCATGTCGGGTCGATTCACGATCTCGTCGTCCAAGGACATAGTGTGTGTAGGCTCGGCACGAACCGTTTTCATTTTAATCGGCATTAGTATTCTTGTGTGGACATTCATTTTACAAACTATACATTTTAGGCTGGCTCGGCGGGCGTCGTCGCCGGCGGCTCCCACGGCAAGCGGTCCAGCAAAAGCGGTGTAATCTCGTGCGCGCCGTAGCGCTTGGCGTACGCGATCGCCGTCTCTTGTTCCTAGTGCGATCGTGTCAGGTGGAAACTAGCGATGACAATCATGTACATTGTTTGCGGTGACCACCGAAGCGTGTGCGTCCAGAAGCAGCTCGACGATCGCCGCGTGCTTGTAGTACACGGCGTAGTGCAGCGGCGTGTCCCCGAGCTAGGCAATAGTCGTCAGCAATGATTGCGATGGAGGGCATCGAGCGTACCACCGCATCTTTGGCGTTGATACCAACGGGCACGCGCAAGTGCCGAAAGGGGATCGTCGGAAGGTGCTGCAGAAGCACACGAACGATCTCGACGTGGCCTTTGGCGGCCGCTTCGTGCAGCAGTGTTTGACCCCACTACGCTAGTGCTGTGAGTCTACGCTGGTTCAAGGTAGTCGGGTACCCTGTTGACGGTGACACAGGCGACGCCTTCTTCCAGCAGCATCACGACGCTGGCCTCGTCGCCACGACGTACTGCGACAAGGAGCTGTCCCTACGTACGATAAACCCATCGTGAGCACTCGTGTAGGATTCCTGCAGCCACCTCGTTGGACATGAGCAAGTCCGAGACAATTTGGAAATGCGCAGGCTTATATCGATACAGTACACTGACATGTGAACGAGGGATCGGAGCTTGATAGTGCACTTGATATTTTCCATCCACCTTGTGTTGTGTGGGCTCGTTGTCTGGGGTTTATACTGCTGTGGAGAATCGTGTGACTGGATCTTCGCTGGCTCGATATACTACTGTCGGTGCTTGACGATCGCAAAATCAGCCAATGAGCTCCGCCAATGGATTTCATTCAGCCAATCCAGAGTCGTGGGAGATAGCCAATCGAATCGCTCGTCACGACTATCAAGCCAACATATCAATCCAGCCTTCTTGGATCTGCATCGAGGTATGAGGTCCCTCGTCAGCGGCGCGCTTGACGACGCAAGTCACTCGCTATCCGCCCCTGACACCTACGCTATCGGTAGGCGAAGGCACCGCCACACGTACGGCGTGTCCACAAAATGACAAATGAAAAAAGATGGTTACGTCGTGATGTTTAGTTGGGGTCGGCCGTCGGCTCGGGCTTGGGCTCGACGGCAGCGACCGCTTGCTCTTTGGCGATCGCTTTGGTCGACTTGACGACGTTGCTCTTGACCTTCTTCTGCGAGTCGATGCGGGCGCGAACGTCGTTCATGACCGGGTACACGTCATTGTCCATGAGCGGCAACAGCGCGCGGCGGAAGCTGTTGTACATTTCAGGGTTGAGACTCTCCTCCTTGAAGAGCATCTTCTTGACGCGCTCGCGCTCCTTGGGTTCTTCAAAGCACGCGGGGCAGTTCT